ATCAATTACTTTGTCATCATAATACATTTCTATGGATGTATTTAATAAAAAGAAACAAAACATAACAGAGTTCAGAGTTCAACAAAATCAGTGTGAAGAATATAATATGTATAAAAATACAATTTTCCCGAAAATAAGACCTTCCCGGATAATACGTCCAATTGGGCTTTTGAGAGCATGCGCTAAAAGAAGCCCTCTCCAGAAAATAAGCCCTCCCCAAAAATATTGCACACAGCAGCACCATGAGGTGATCACGCTTGCCGCCTTCTGCACCTCAAAAATAAGAAGACCTCTCTAAAAATAAGGCCAAGTCCTTATTTCGTGGGGCAAAAGAAAATAAGACCCTATCTTATTTTCGGGAAAACACGGTAGCATTTACTTAGGTTTAATTATCTAAGACAAAGGACTGCGCTTTTCCATAAATCAGTTATTTAAATCAACAATGTGTGAAGTGACAGAAATATCTCAATTTTGTATTCAAAATTGAGGGGACCAAACAACCTTTTCTGAACAGAACATTTCATGGACAAAATGAAAACAGCTAAAACGATCACACATTCTCTTATAGTCATTTAACTTCAGTCAACAGAGGTATCTAAAGAAGGAATTCCAAAGATGGTCCAAAGATATAAGTATACAGGGGGAAATAATTCCTCCACACGCTGTATACTGCCCCCTAATTATTTGGGACTTTTAATAGCAATAGTCATGTTTTGAAATGCACTCAGAAAGAGAATGGAAAGTGGTGCAGCTTATGAAGAGAAAAACCTGGCAAATTTCTCACTAAACACACATCTAACTTTCTGGACTGAACTTTGGTCTCTGTCCAGTCCATTAATCTGTTGGACACTGATTCAGGACATTCACTGTCCCTATTAGAAAAGTGCTGAAATTACAAAAATAACTGAACTTCAGCTATCTGCTTAGGATCTCTCAGCCTACATCCTCAGATACCGTAATCTCTGCAGCAGTTACATGTAGAAATAATAAAACAGAGATCTAGAAAAGCCTCAAATATTACCTTCTAGTATTGGTAATACTTCAGCATTATTATATCAAATTAGACACCTGAACAGAAGCAGAATCACCCAACAATTAAATCTGTAACTTAGATGTCCATTTCAGAAATAGACTGTGATTGATGATAAGAAAGCTACTGAGAGATACAGGGGGAGCTAAAAGAGTTTTGTCTCTTTATTGGTAAATGCCATCCTTGGGGAAATCATGGCTGTTTCTGTCTCAAAACTGCATTTAAATCTGGGATGAAATGGATCCTGAGAATCAACGTCATCCAAAAATGCCTGGAGTTGAATGTTAATTACTTGAGCATCTTGCTTATGCACCTGCTGTTGGAAGAAAGGAGACAGATATTGTTGCTGTAGCTATGAGAACATTAAATGGAAAATCCCTAAATCCCAGAGAAACTCATTACCAAAAGAGGGCTGTTTTCCTTTCCCCATTCCTAGACTAAAGTTGGGGAGTAAATCAGAGATTTTCATGAATCTATGTGTGGTCAAGAGAAAGGGACAGGATCCAGTTACATGCCAAAATCTACAGATGATAATATATAGCTATTTTTATGTAAGAATTTGTCTTGGGTTCTTTTTTTTAAAATCAATCTAAATAATGAACTGGAACTGGATTCACATATCACACACTATAGTTTATTCACTATGATTTAAAACACTGATCAGATGGGTTTGCACAGCTGCCAAGCTATAAACCATGGCTAGTTCACACAACTTCTTAAATCAAAATGGAATGAAATGTATTATTGGCACATAATGAGCAAGCCCAGCTCCAACTGCTATACCTGTGTTTTAGCATTGAAATACAAGGGATTGTTTTTGATGAACAATATGTTTTATTTCATCATCTGGGGTATTTGAAAAAAATGTCTGAGAAGACTTTAATCAGAAGTGGCAAGTAATAGCTCATGATGCTCAATTGCAGAAGCTCTGTCTGTAAACTTTAATTCCTTAGAGTATCTATTTTTCTAGACACTTTAAAAAAGAAAGAGAATATACAGGTTCCAAAAACAAGGTCAGAGACCACTAGGCATTTCTGCACTTCTAAGAGAAGAAGAAAATAATTACACAGCAGAGTGTATAATGTAATACAGTTACGTTTACTACAACTATATGTTTAAGTCTTATACAAAATACTTTTCAATACTTTACATGACCATATACACAAAAGATACAGTATATTATACACACACAGAGCAGGAAATCATGAGACATTATACACAACTGCATATGGTCCTAGTTCTCCTTCCAGACTAATGGTAGAAGGCAGAAAGCTAATAAAAAATACAGACCTCCACTAACACATTGAAGTTTTCTGTTACAGATTATTAAATAGAAGCATGAGGGAATTGAAATCAAATTCCCCAAACCACTTATGAAGCAGATATAATGAATAATTTAAGTTCTAGCTACCTTTTCAAACCAAATATTACTTGAGTACAATTCAAGATCTTGAAAAGAAAAATTGCTTGGCCAAAATAAGAGGAAGGTGATATAAACAAATGGTATTTACCCAACAGGAAAATGAAGTTTTCTCCCATATAATAACTGTGAATTGGAGGATGGGGGGGGGGGGGGGGGGAGGGAGCTGGAACTGGTTAGACACATAATCTTAGAACTGTTAAAAATAAAACTTCTATTTACTCTCTTTTTTTACGAAGTCTTTGTTCTTTTTCTTTTTCTTTGACTGTTTCTCCCAAAGAAGACAGTACTTTGAGAAATATGTGGGTCCAAAAAAGAATGATTGCTATATATTGATAAGGATCATTTATTTTTTTAATATGCAGTTTTTTATTTTATAGCTAATTAAAGTTATTAAATTAAACAATGTATATTTTTTTGTCCTGGCCTTTCCCTTTTTGGGGAGTTTTTTGGCTTCTCGTTAATACACCCACACACAAGATATTTGCAAACTTCAGAATGATTTGAAGAAACAGTTAGGGGACTGCAAACACAACCACTTTTAAAAACAGCTATACCTTTTTTTCGGGCTTGTGTGAGATCCTAACAGTTGAAATTGTTGAAAAACATTGCTTTATAGATATTATGCTTTTACGTTTTAAATTAGCTTTGATTTTAAAGAAAAGTTCATTCCTTTATCACCGAAAAAATTAAATTCAGGCAAAAAGAATACCCCAACCTTCTCAAAACCTGATTAATTATAACTGCTAGGATTGACATACATCACCCATCACAATACTTAATAAATAAGACTCTTAGTGTGACATTTACTAGCTCTTCTTTACCCCATAACCACAACTTTCTTCAATACACACACACACACACACACACACACACACATATATAAATGCGCGCACACAGGTTTTATATGTATATATACAGGTTTTATATATATTCATTATAATTATTTACTGATGTATGTTTAGGATTTTATTTCTCAAACATCAATGCATTAGTTGCATGATAAATCTTCTATTCCTACTTAATTTTCCTACAGTGAATATGTCTCAAAAATCGCAGTATATTGACAACCCAATGTGGATCAAAGCTCTTGGGGAACACTGAACTATAAATTACTCTGGGAAGTGGAAATAACATCCCAGAAAGCAGTAAACATCTCCTTCCCTACAGCTGTCAAAAAACCCTCCATGAGATCACCAGAAGCTAAGGTCTGATTTGAAGGAAAGTCTCTATGGAAAGCAATCTAATTTCTTTTCTTTTCTTCTGTTTCTCAATTCCTGCTCCATATTTTACTTCACAACAGGAATGAGCAAAAATTATTCATATCTACTGGCAGCTGTATCTAATTTACAGTAGATTAGCAAGGAGTTTTGACCTTAACTGCTTGAAGAATTGCAGTTATGCAAACATATGCCTCCAGCTGGTGGAACTAGTCAAAAAAAAGCAACCATAACAAAATTCAAAGATATTATCAAGCCCACTCTGTTCTTCAGCATCTGCCATTTCCCTCTTTTATCAAGCCTCTCTCCAAACGTTTGACTGTATATCCCAATCCTGCACCTCTTCTCCTACCAGGTGAAAGGGTATCTCCCCTAATCCCAACCCTCTGCCCTCCAAGCTCTTTTCTCCATGAAAGACAAGGTGCTTTTTTTTCAAGAAGCTTCTTGGATGAGAAGCGAAACGTCTTCAAAAAAAAAAAAAACCCTGAAAGTCCAATTGCCTCTTGAAAAAAAGCAGCTTTGGGACAACCATGACCTGGATAGTTGAGAATTTCCAAAGACACCAACATACTCGCGCTTATTTCTCGCTTATTCCTCCAAGCAGTCTTGTCCGCTTGGAAGGGCTGCTGGTCATTCCCTTCTTCTCGACCGAGATTGAGGAGCTGCCCCACCTCTTCTCGGTTTGCCCTCCAGAGCCCGGGCGACCCCCGCCCCACCACTTGGCTGCAAAGAGGAGGAAACAGCGCTGTCCGCCTCCTCCTCTACCTCCTGCCCCGCTCTCCGAAACCGTGAGCCGGACGGACGGCACAGCGGCGCCGTGCAAAGGAGGCCCTCCCGCAAGATGCCTCTGCCCCCTCGCCTCCCCTGTGGGAGGGCGGCAAAGCGTGCAGGCTGGGTGCGATCGACAACCCCCCCCCTCCGCCACCTACCTGCCGGGTGTTGCTTCCCGGGGCCGCTGGCCGGGCAGCTGAGCAGGAGAAGCCAGAGGTGCAGCACGACCCCGACCGCACACGGGCAGAGAAGAACCAACCAATTTCGCATTGGCCGCCGGCCGCTGCCCAGCCGTCGCGGCCTCTCTCGGAGCAGAGACGGGACGGACCCGCAGAGACAGGCAAGGTCTCCTTCGGCTTCCCTCGCTCCAGCACCAGAGACCCTCGCCGGTCCCTCCCGCGGCCGGCCCAAAGCCAGAGTCCCGCCCCGGACCAGGAAAGCGTGTGCGCAGAGCCGGGCCTCCGCACGCACTACAATCCCCACAATGCCTCGCCGCCGAACGGAAGCGGCTTGACCTTGGCGCGATCCGACAGCGCCTCTCCCCCCCCCCTCCCTTCTTTCTCGCAAGAGGCGATGGAGGTGAGCAAAGGAAACCGCCCCGCTAGGTGATTTTTTTTTTAACTCCTGGTGACTCCGTGGAAAGGAGAGAAGAAAAAGGAGGTAGGAAAAGGCCCGCGCGGTGTTTATAACTGCAGGTTATTCCCCCCCCCCTTTAAATAATAAGAGAGAGAATTCTTCGACGTGAAGATAAAAACAGGCATCTAATAGGAAAACTTTTATTTAGCACATCTGGCCTTTCCATTTTTACACACGGCCCACTTCAATTGCTGGCCTGAGTGGGACAAATCTTTTTAAAAGAAAATTTGCAAATGAGTAGCATTTGATAAACGAGGTAGGTTTCGCCCAATTCTTTGGGAAATGTGAAGTCTGTAAGGGGAACTGTCACTTTTGTTTGAACAGGGAGAAATCAAGAACTTATTCTCAAGTCCCAGTAATGATGCATGAAGATGCCCTGCTTACATTTTAAAGGAAATGTCACTTTCATCTCATAACTAGCCCACTAAAAAGGAAACCTGCCGGTGCAGTTGTTCCAGTGTTAAAATAGTATCTTCCTTCTTCTGGTAAGGAACCCATAAGTACAATCTATTGTTATTGATGTTGTTGATGATGACAAAATCTGGGATGGGATCTGCCCATTGGTCACTTGAGGCTTCTCCCTCCAGTTCATGGCATGGCCCTCCATGATCATTTTGGCTTGGATTGTTGGGAAGACTGGACATCCAGCTTCTTCAAGGGCTTTAGTCTAGGTCAGGGGTGTCAAACTTGCATCGTCACATGATGCATCAAGACTTTTGTCATCGTGATATATCACAACTTTTTCCCCTGCACTAAAACGGGTGGGCATGGCTAGCGCATGACACATCCGTCACGTGGGCCGTGAGTTTTACACCCTTTGTCTAGGTAATGCCTGACCAACACTTTCATAAGCGTTGGTCAGGAATTACAGGTTCCTTATGTACATAGATATAGCATTTCTTTGAAAGAATGCAAGACCACTTTTTAAAAAAAAAAGTGTTTAGAAGTTGGTTGATAGAGTGCTAGACCTGATTTTTGGGGGGGGAAACAAGATCAATTTAAGCTAGGAAAAATCAAGTTCTGCTCATTGTTAATTTTGACTCAAGTTCTACGTTTTCTGTTCTTCAGGAAACAAGGAATATTTTCATTACTTTTGTGGGAAGCAATGGCACTATGTTGTGTACTACATGAGCTACTTCTGAGTACTACTAGCCATGGCATTTCACTGCCAGCACTTCCATTGAAGTGGGAGGGAAAGTGCCCATAAGGGCAACCCTCATGCTGTCACATATCAACTTTAAATATGTAAAAGCTGGGATGTGGTTAATTCAATTCTGCCTTCTCTTTTAGCCCAAAGGGGGACACAAAATGAAATGGGAGGGAAATCACTGTGTTCCTCTCAAACTTTTATCACAAGTCACTAAAACTATTTCTGGACATAGGTCTAGTTCTCTTCTGGGAGACTGTTAAATTAATGTCATAAATAGCTGATATGTTTGTAGAATAAGGGAGGGCCATGGGACCCAATGACCCAACAGTCATTTAAACCCAGGTTTAGTAGCCTTCCAAGAGAACATTAACCCCATGTCTGGAAATAGCTTTTAGGTTACCGATGCAAATAAGTTCTTTGTGCGCAATTTGATACCTTAAAAGATTGTGGTTCAATAAGAAAATGCATCTGCTCAATGCAAAAGAAAGTAAAGAAAGGGAAATAATAAAGAAAATAACTGATTGTGCAGAATGTGATAGACTGACGTTAGAATTGAAAAATAAAGGAGAGACAGAGTACTACGAGATTTGGGATAGATTTTATCAGTGGTTGGGTTTAAGGAAGGGAAGTCGGAATGATTAAGCACAAAGATGCATAGATTGAAACATAAAGCAATATAGGTAATATATTATAATATACTAAAAGTATATTATGCAATTATAATTGTAATTGCAACCATGTAGAAGTGGTTAAGTAGGTATATATAATCAATAAGTATCAATGTGTATTGAATTTTCATTGCTTGTATGTATTGAAAATATTTGTGTGATTTGCTGTATGGCGGAGAGACTGCCAAGATGTTGTCCATTTTCTTTTTTAACAATGAACTTTTTTTTTAATTTTTGAAGAAAGTAATGCAAATGGGCTGATAAGAAATCTTTACAGGGAAGGAAGAATTGAAATTCTCCTCTTATTTGCCAAATACGTATGAGGAGGTATTTGAGGATTTTTCTGCTGGAAAAATATGGTTTCTGAAAGCTACAAAAGATATGGCGACTGATGGTATTATTTCATCAGAGTTATTGTTTTTTTTTAGCTGATTGGAATCTGGACGCTCATTAAAGAGTAAATTGAGTGCCTTAATACCTTAAGTTTCTCTTAAGTTAGTTCAAGAAGTGGGGGGGAAATGCACCATAAAAAATCACTGGAGTTATCACTAAATTTTTGAAAAATAGCAATGAGTTGTTAGCTAGAAGTTGCCACCCCATGTTTAGAATGTGTTAATTTTTTTTTGTATGTAAGTGGCATTTCTTTTATTGTGATGGATTTGCATTTTATTCTTTTAGAATAATTTCTCAAAGATTCAACATATTATGATGCGATTTAAGAAATATAAATAAATCTAAACATTTGAATTAGGGCTAATACCAGTTTTGATAGCCTGATGTTGTTGCTGTCTCTCTACTTTCCACTATACTACCAGATGTTATTTCCAAAGTCTGCAAAAAATAAAGACATTTTTCTTGATATCAAATGCATATCCATGCATTTATTTATTTATTTATTTATTTATTTATTTATTTATTTATTTATTTATTTATTTATTTATTTATTTTCTCCACATTTATTTACATGAGGAATTTCTCTACAATTTATTATTATGGAACAAAACATAAAATCTATGGTCAGCTGCATATTGACTTAATAATGTCCCTTACTATAGTTATCCACCTCCAAATTTAAAACATCTGTTGTCCTCATGAGTATACAAATTTGCTTCAGTTGATGTATATAAAGCGTAAAATATTACTATAATAAAAATAACATTCCACAAGGAGTTAAATATAATACATGATTATACATTTAGTTGCTTATTACTTACTCCTGAGGTCCTAATGGAATTACCTAATGAAATTTGGGGATCATACACATAATTATTATTTCTTTATCCAGCAGATGGCAGCAATAGTTCAGCTTATAAATCATCCGAGAAACATTTTGATAGCTGTAGAATCTTTATTTTGGATAATATTCCTCACCAAATATTCCTCTACTGATAAATCACCGAATAAGAAGTAAATACATATTATTATGCAGCAGAAATTTTAGCTTGCATTTTTCTGTAGCTACTAAGGCTAGACAATTATATTATCATCATAATTTATTCCTTTCATGTGAAGCAAATAGGGCAGCAAGCTTCTTCCAATTATATAAAGAAAAAGGTTCCCCTCACACATATGTGCTAATCGTTCCCGACTCTAGGGGGCAATGCTTATCTCCGTTTCAAAGCTGAAGAGCCAGTACTGTCCAAAGATGTCTCCGTGGTCATATGGCTGGCATGATTCAACGTCAAAGGCACACCAAACGCTGTACCTTCCCACCAAGGGTGGTCCCTATTTTTTGACTTGCATTTTTACATTGCTAGGTTAGCAGAAGCTGGGACAAGTAACTGGAGCTCACTCCATTACGCGGTGCTAGGGATTCGAACCGCCAAACTGCCGACCTTTCTGATCGACAAGCTCAGTGTCTTAGCCACTGAGCCACAAATTGTATACTTCAGTCTAAATAAATTAGCTTTTAAAATGACGATTCAATATATAACTAGACATACTTTGTGTTCTGTCCCAAATTCTTGCTTTTTATCTGCAAATCAACTATTATTTTAATACTAGAAACTATTTAAAGCCTAGCCCAGCTTCTCCAGACAGTACATGACCTTCTCTATCAGAAATCAGACAGCAAAAGTAGATAGCAAAAAAGTCTTAAAAGCTGTTTGCTAAGCTGTTTGAGAATCAAATATCAGGTCTGCAGAATTTCTGATGCCAATTTAGATACCCTCATGAGGACTGGATTAAGAACATGGCTGAACTAGATTTAGAGAGGAAAATCAGTTGCAGAGAGCCATGGAGAGCCAACAAAATGCTTAAAGGGCCAGTTTTCTGCTTTTTGCCCTTTTATAGCAATCTGAGTAAAACTGGTTGGTTGAATACAGGTACTTTTAAATGAATGAATCCTTAGTATATATGTACTTAATTATCCAGTTGTGTGTCAAATACCTTCCTGTAATCAATCCAAGCTACATTCAAGTTGCTCTTCTTTTATAGTTTTCCAAAATCATCTTGTCAATTAGGGGCTGATTTTATGGCCTTGATCTTATGTATTGCACCAAATACAATGCCAGTTAGTAATTTGAAAGTTCATGGTAAGCAGGTTATTATGATTATCAGTATTTTTCTTATTTATCTTCTAAAATTATCTCATAACTGTCAATATATTGGAACACTATTACATAAATCCACTTTTAATCTTATAGTTTCTTTCTTACATTGGGTAGGAAAGAGAACAACACTGTGCTTATAATTTCGAAGGATAAACACTCTGCTTAGATTTTCAGTGTTCACTCTGCCAGTTAAGACTGCTATCATTTGGAAAAGCAGAAGTAAATATGTTGCCATGGGAACTGATGCAGTCTTGTTAAAATTAAATCAATTATGATGTTGAAAGGGTTCCCAAGTTCCCGAGTGTCGTAAGCAACTAATATATATATATATATTGCTTTCTAAAACCATATTTAAATATTGCCATGTTTGCTTAAATACAAGTAGAGATTGAATACATAATGGATGTAAAGAGATAACTCTTCCAAATGCATGCGGTTCTTGAAACCAAAGCTATTAGTAAAATGAGATTTTACTGTGGTGCAGAAACACACATTAAGAAGTAGTGTGGTTTTATTGTTATGCTAGGATTGATGATGAAAGAATAATATGATGAAATACTAACAGTATAATATAGCCATTCTTCTTTTTGCAGTTATTTGCATTTTGTGATTTTCTCCCGGTTCTTTCTCTTCTCTTCTGTTGTCTCCAGATACTGCACATTTACTAACCAGACTTTTTTTGTCTTAACAATTGCTATTATGGTTTGTTGCACAGTCAGCCGGATGTTTAGACTGGATTTGGCATTTTTAATCCACCCATTGTGTCCTTTCTAAAGACCTACATTACGCAGGTGTTTTTGTTTCATTTTGTTAATGGATATAAGCTGTTCCAAGTAACCTGCTTTTCACAATTGACTGAAGGTGAATTTGTCAATGCCGAAGATGTTCAAGTGGTGCTTCACTTGTTTGGATATTGTACCCAAGGGACCTATTACCATTGGTATTGTTTTTTCTTTCATTTGCCCCATTCTACTTCTCTTTGGAGGTCTTCGTATTTTGTTATGTTCTCCAGTTCTTTCTCTCCTGTTCTGCTCTCACTGGGTTCTTCCATGTCTACTCTCAATTGTTAAGTCTGGAGTGTTAGGTGGCAAGTGCTTGTCTGAATTCTAAAGTTCCAGGGCACTTTAGCTTCTTCATTTTCATTTATCAATTTTGTGGTCCCACAAAGTTCTTGCTTGCAGGCAATTGGTATTTCTTGCAGATCTTCCAATGCAACATTGTTGCTACATTGTCATGTTGTTCTTTGCAGTCAGTCAGTGCAATTTTCCTGCAGAATGAGGGTCTTAAAATATTTCCCTCTTGACATTAACCTCTCCCAGTCTATTACCATTGACCAGCAATTGTATCTTCCATTGTGACCTTGATCTTTGCACAAACCTTCTGCTGTTTCTGCTGACTCCTGTCATTTCAAGGCACTTGATTATCCAATCTTGGCACAGAGTTAATGCTGTTGTTTGTGGTCAATCTGTGCAATCTTCTTGCAGCAACTTATTATTATGCTCTTCAAGGCAGTGTTGATTCCTGGAGACTCTCTGGACAGGTCATTTCAGTTTTCTTAGCAATAGTTCAGAAGTTTCCATAATGGCTAACCAGACCAATGGGAAGCCTAGTAACATGTTTACTTTTAAATGGCTTTCCATTGGTCTGACTGGCCATTGTGGGAACAAAATATGAGATTAAGCAATCCTCTAGGTATATTTATTTATTCGTAAACATCACAATTAAAATAAGGTATAATCCATGACATAATATTTAAAATATAAAATACAAGATTAAAGTAAGTACATATTAAACAGATCTTGCCCATATCTTGGTCTCTAAGTGACTTTGCATTATGGCTTGTTTGTACACACTCCATACCCGTAATTTTGGAACAGCTTTCACTTTGCATCACTCAAATTTAGTTGTCTCCCTCCAATTTAATCTTAATCCAGTTTTTTTCCCCTAAAGGAGGTATCAGCTGACTCCTCAATTTGCCTCCAAGCTTCCTTTTCCTACTGTAAATTATTGAGGAGGTAGTTGACTCCTGGTTGTCCCTGATCTCTCCATGGCTTTCAGTGCCATTGAACATGCTGTTGTTCTGGATCTTTTAATTGGGGACAGAACTTTGCTTTGGTTCTCTTCCTTCCTCTGGAATCAATTCTAATTGATGTTAACAAGAGCGGTGGGGAATTAAGCCCACACCCCCTTTTTCATGAAGTTATTCAGGATTCAACAACACTCTCCCCACTCTTATTTAACATATGCATGAAGCTATTGGATAAGGTCATCTGTCAGAATAGGTAGTTCTGTCTTGGGTTGTGGAGATTCTGCTTCTATGTCTGAGTGGGCTCCAACTCAACCAAGCAGGACTGAATGATTCTGGATTTTAGGGTATCCAGAGTTCTGGACTGTAGATCTTCTGTTTATAGTTCTGGATGGAGTTGTGTTGCCTCACACAGAACCAATGTACAATTTGGGGGTTCTCCTAGACTCACGGAGTTGATGGCTGCAGCCAGATGGACTTTTCTACAATTTCATGTGCATTAATTGTCTCCTTTCCTGGAGCAAGAGGAACTGTGCGTGGTCACTCATGCTTCTTTCATCTCCCAACTGGATTAGAATGCAATGTATTCTAAATGGAACGCCCCTTTCTTCAAAACAAAGCTACAATTGGCAGCATGAGCAATTATGGGCATATATTAGTATGCCCGTACTACATTATCTGTATATGCCTTTTGAGATGCACTGGTTCCCAGGCTTTAAGGTGCAATTCAGGGTGCTGGTTAGTACCTATAAAGCTGGTCATGGCATAGAGTCAGAATATTTCAATGACCACCTTCCTCTAATTGACTCTACCTGCCCCATCACATCTGGCAAAATAAGCATGCTCTGGGTCTCGTTGATCAGGAAACATGTCTTTTCTCTCAGTGTTAGCCCTTTGGAACACAATTTCTCCTGAGATTAGATCCCTAAACTTGCTGAACTTCTGGGCTGACTTTTCTTTTAGGCATAGGATTTCAGAAATAGTGGAGCTTGTGAATTTATGATTTTTTTTTGTTTGTCCAATTATCTTTGCTGCCTTTTTTCTTTTTGATATGTTTTTATTTTTTCTTTTGTTTTGGTGTTTTATTGTGTTAGTTGCCTAGAGTTAGAGCCCAGAAGTGGCAGCCATACAAATCCAATAAATCCAATAAATAAATGAATAAATGCAATCTATTGCTCAATTTTGGGCTGAGGTTTTAAACATCAATTTATATGCAAATTAGTTGCATTTTAAAATGTTTTAAAACTAAAAAAAACCCACATGCTTATTATACAAAGAAGATTGCCCATATTTAGAGTATTAAAATACAGCATACTTACTTGGGATCAGAAACAGATTGAAAAAGAACTATTTCACAGAGTCATTCAGTGAATATATGGCATCAGTGGAATTTTAACCCCAGGTGAAAAATTGATGCACAAATAGTTTGTATTATCCAATAGACAAATAAGTGACTAGAAATACAATCGCAAATGAAAAGTAACTTTTATTAAAATATTCAAGTAAGGAAAATGATTAACAGTACATTTTATCATACAACATATACCAAATGAACTATATAACTGATTTCAGACAAACAAGCTTTTACCAGCACAGACTTAAGATTTTTTTTTAAAGATAAGAGCCAATATAAAGACCATAGAAATCTATGTTACTTAATACACACTCAACTGTACTAGAAATCTGTATTTAGCATATTACAAAGGCTAGAGGTATATAATTTGAAATATTAAGGAACATATCAAGATGACATCCTTTGCTGCAGGCTGCATAGTTTTTAGTATGAAATGGGAATCGGTACCCAGAGAAACTATAATTAACGTGTTAAATTTTAAAAAAGAATTCTTTATTTGAACTGGACTCCACACTGTGCCAGTTTGACCTATGGAATGGTATCAGTGTGCTCTTTATTTGGCCTGCAAGTTTTTCATGTGCTGGTTCTATTATTAGAATGATTATTAGTGCTACTGTCTGCTGCAATGAGCATACTGCAATACAAAACAGAAGAGTAACATCTTAATGGTAAAGAACACATTTTAGATTTTAAAAGTACTAAATTTAATCCTTGGCATCTCAGGTTGGGCTTAAGTAGGCTCCTGTTCAAAACCTGAAAGTGCTGCCCATCAGTACAGATAATTCCAAGTAAGTTGACCAGTTGTTTGACTTGGTATAAGGCAGCTAATTGGGAAGATTTGATTTAACTTTAGTATCCATAATTCAAACATTCATCAAGCACATTCTCTTCTGCAATCCCACTTTTTACATGGAAATAAAATAGTTAAGAAATTGATGGTGCATATTGCTCATCATAGTTTCAGTTCCTCTGAAAGACAGCCTGGGTTGGCACACAGCACCCAGGCTAAAAGGCGATTGGCCAATTTGTGACTCAGTGTGTTGTGCAAATCTAACCTGTATGGTTGATTTATGATTCACTGTGTGTTCCGTCAGGCAATTTGGTTAATTCATAAGCCATTATTATATAAGCTATGGCTAGTCTACTATGCAAACAAGCCAAAGACAGTTCATGAAATTTAACCAACAAAATCTAATTATCGCATAAGTAACAACAAATAGTATTCTTTTATTACAAAACACAAATAAAGAACAATAGAAATGTTGAGCACATACCACTGATAGAAAAATTGACATTAAAAACCTTCACTTAAAATGTATTAACTTAGAATATATTGTGTTCTAGAAAGGTTGACTTTTCGACTGAATTACTATATGGGAGAAAACTTGAGGAAAAGCATGCACCATCAGTAATGTATTTTCACAGATAACATTTTCAACTGCAGGGTGAATCATAGAATAGTACATAAGAGCTTCTTCTCCCGGAAGGGATTTTCAGATGCAGGCACCGGTATAATAAGGGGATCTTCTCCCATATGAGCATCACAATATGCCAATAAATCAGCAGCTGCCTTGGATACCTAGGAGCATTTTAAAAAGAACAAGAAAAAGAACAAAAGAAAAATGGGAGAAGGATTATCTAAGTATTATTACTATTGCAAGAGTGTTAATAGATTGATCCAAGCAATATTTTCTATGTAGTAGTCCTTTATACCATAGCTGGGGAAATAGATGTCCCAGGCTTGCACATGCGTTTTGAAAGCTTTCTATGTATCTCCCAGCCTCTCACCAAAATTCTCTGTATTATAATTTTGAATAAGGCAGAAACACAAAAGTTTTAGGTATATAAGCAGTAATCATATAATTAAACAATGTAATGTTAAATTATTTTAAAGCTTTTGCCTTGCCACATCAATTTTTTTGCATACATCTCAGACTATCATTCAGTATATTATTTATTTATTAATCTCTCTGAAATTATAGTAAATCCTTAAAAAATAGTACATATATGTGACAGAGCTGCACCAACCATAGGTAATGATAAAGGTTCATCTCGCACATATGTGCTAGTCGTTCCTGACTCTAGGGGGCGGTGTTCATCTCTGTTTCAAAGCCGAAGAGGCCAAAGGCACACAGAATGCTGTGACCTTCCCAAAGAACAAAGTCACTCCAAAGAACAAAGTCAATGCTATAAGGAAGCCACGTGTAATGTTGCAGTAGAGCTGGAGCAGCAAGATGCACCAAAACCAAGCATTTTTTAAAAGTCATATGTAGCTCCTTTACATGTTTTATTTTTAGTCTATGATAATGTACCAAATGGTACATTCTGGCATAAGTCCAAACGTTCAGAGAAAAAAGAAAAGCTCAATTAGATTTGTCAGTTATTTTTTGTGCTAGCGGATTGTAAAATAGTAACAGAAAGGAAAACAAAGAAAAATTAGATTAGAAATTTATATAAGGAAACTAAATTTTGAAATATTCACCAAGCAATGTAACTTAGAATCAACAATTTCCGATAAATTGGTTTCCAGATCTCACAATCCAAACAATGTGACTACATTAAACCAATAATTGATTGAATCTCTTTTTGTTTATTATCGATGAATATTACCAAAAAATTCTACCTCGGAGGGTTGTTACCAGATATTTATGATTTAAGTCAAAGTTAGCAATCTCTGAAAGAACTAGAGAATGTTATCATTACATTTCAGAGTAAAGAAGGTGATTAAAAACAGCCCAAGTTAGAATATAATCCTGTTAGATACCCTATAATTATAAGATTCAGTGACAAGACAAAATGCTGCAATTACTACAGTCACCTTCCATGAAAAGACAGACATAATTACTGTTCATGCAATGACACCCACTCTGCTTTTGCTTTGTATCTAAAATGAGCACATCCACAAACATCTCACTAATGCCAGTGTTGATTTCACAACACTATTTTAGAAATAATTAACAATTCCATCTTTAAAGGAGAATGGGAAAAGCACAATAGCTGCTGTATGCAATTGTTCACAGTCCTACTCATGTTAAAAATCAGTGTTTCTTGACTGAACGTCAGCGGCATAGTTTTGTTATCCTAAAAGGTATCTGCAAACTTTAGTTATACCATACAAATTTCTTCTACCAATATTGTTTCTAACTTTTTCAATTTTACTGTTTTATTTTTAAAAAGGAATTTTCTTTCAGCAACAATATTTATCTACAATGCATTAGTTTCATCTCGATCATAGCTACTGTTTTTAATTAAGATTCTAATTTTTTAATATATTTCATTCGCTATGCTGAATATTTTAAGAGCTTAATTTATCAGTTCTTGGACAATCAGGTCTTTGCATATTAACTTCAAATATACACAAGTCTCTTGTTAATACAAAAAGTGATTAAATGAAGAAGTCTCACATAGTTTTTTAAATTATTTTTGCTGAATTGAGAAACTATTATCACACACTGAGAACAAAGCAAAATATTATGCTTTACAATATTTTGAAATTATTGTAATGGCTTTTTAAAGTTATTAGCTGTTCAAAACAAAGGATGCAATAGTTAAATTAGAGGCATTTTGGTTTACTTATTAGCTTGGTATACATATTAGCTATGTAAATAAGCTCTATATACTTAGAAACATCTATGTATTTCTCATCTTAGTAATCAAAAACATATTATCTGTACATGCCCTGGACATGCATATGGTTTCCAGATGTGTGATTATCCAAGTAGTGTATCAAATTAGACCTGTTTAGCTTTAAAAATAAAACTAGGTTAGGTAATGTTCAACTTCTGGAAGAAAAGAAATGGTAGCATATAAACAGCATTAAATCCTCAGTCTCTGTTTTCCTTTCCATAGTTGTTAGATCTAATCTGTCTGCTCTTTGCATAGATGTTCTTTATAAGCATATTTTGACTTAATTCACTGAATACAAAGAGCTATGCTTGGCTACTAGCCTAAAATATACAAATCTTAAGTTTTGTGGTTTTTTTATGTCACCAGTAATGGTTTAGAATATTATACAAAGCCAGCCAATGGTGTCTTTTCAGTAAACCATGATTATATAAACCATAGCTAAGTACATGGACTTAATTATGAACTCAATTTTATAAGGCAGTAACAGTGTTTACCAATGACATAAAAGATTGTATATAACATCATGAAGCAATATAATTGATTGCACTGATTCTGAGCATCGGCTTTTTCAAAATGTCAATTTAAATGTATCATTCAAAATGTTTTGTACATGTGAAAATGAGTCATCTCTGTTTATGCATATGCAGAAATATAGTAATATTTGCGTGGGAATGTTATTTGAACAATAATAAAAATTATTTTACAATGTATGTGTTTCATTTCCAAAGAGAAGTAAACATGTATAAATTCATTTTACTTATCTCATGAATATAAAAAATCACAATCTAATATATTCAAGCCAAAAATTTGTAATGTGCAGTAGTAATTTCAAACCAGAGAAAAATCTGCTTAAGCAGTGTTTTTGGAGAATGAGGTCTTTGAGAAACAATTTTAGAACTGCAATTGACAGGACACCACAGCAGGTTAAGTGTTCTGGGGAGGGTTTAAACTTCACAGAATTGTCACTGAGCCAACTTGTACCATGTTTGACAGAAAATAAGACAGGGTCTTTTCTCCCCCCCCCAAAAAAAAATATAAACACTGGGCCTTATTTTTGGGGCGGTCTTATTATTTTTGAGGTGGAGGAGGCGGCGAGCGTGGTCACCTCATGGCTGCTGCTGTGTTGCAATATTTTCAGGAAGGGCTTATTTTAGCGCATGTGCTCAAAAGCCCAAATGGGCTTATTATCCGGGGAGGTCTTATTTTCAGGAAAACAGAGTAACAACATTTAATTAATTTTACAAGCCAAGATATATTGTGGAAAATTTAAGAATTGTCAATAGCTTTAAAACATTCTAAATACTGCTTTGTTCACTCAAGTACTCCATAAAATTGCATTATGTAAGGATGTATCACATCTAACATTCGATAAATCTTCTAACTCCAGTTACAATGGATATAATCTACTTTTTTCCTAACTTAAAATGAGAGTCTTTTCTCAAGAGAGAAAAATATATCAACAAACTAAGACAGTTACAAAGCTGCTCAGGAAATAATTCAAGGTTAATCTGATCCTTCACGTGCAATTAATTTTAAAGCATAAATGCTGAACCCTATAAGTAATAGCAATATGTCCTAATTTCAGCATAACCTAAACATATATATTTATGCAACTTGAGTAAATTCCAACATTATCCAAATGGATTTACATTTGAACAGTAGGACTTTTCTCTTTTTAATTCCACAGTGCCAACTTTAGCTTCATTCTATCCTGGGATTACCCCAAGGTTTCTGCATCAGATTTTGAAAATCCAGCGGGTTCTAGGAGAAAGAGTATCTTCCCCTTTTGTAATGCAATAGATACTGATCCATGAACAGGGAAGGCAATTGTAAACAGTTAAAGCTTCCTAATAACAAATATCACAGGATAATATCTGTAGGAGTTACACTGAAAACCAGAGGGTGCCAAGGAAGGAATAATCATTGTGACCACTGCCACCCAGTTCCCTGCCTGAGACATGCAAAACATGTGCCCCTTAAGCTATGAGAAAATTGGTGATGGTGGGAAAGCTAGATTTAAACTGAGCTGGACAAAAGGGGAAATTGCACTCTCATATTGACAGGTGGCAAACAACTAGTTTCAGCCTAGTACGGATGCCAGTGTGCCATAAAAATTCTTTTCTAGCTACGCTTTGTTGAAAATCTGAGTAACTTCTACAGATTTCTAACTAGTGGGTGGTCAGAATTTGTAAATATGATTACAAGTTCAAATTTACCTTTATCCTATCCAGATATGCTTCCATTTTTAACTGCTCCACTGCTTTTCTTGCTTGAGATATATTTGTTGTACTGTTATTAGGCATTATCTCCTTCATTCTGATTTTCCTAGATCAATAAAAATGAGAGCATTACAAATTGTTTATTTTCAAAAGATAAACCATTCTAAGAAGAGATGTTTTTTTTCTAGCTCCAGATTTTTCTTACATACTTCTTTCATTTCACTGATCAGTCCTCATTCAATTGCCAGTATGGAATGTTATCTCTACAATCTTGCCCAAGGCGTTTCAATATAATCAGTATCAGGTTACCTAATAATAACCCATCATATTTAATACATAATTAAGTCATTTATTATAGCAGGAGAGATAAGACAACTCCCTAAATTGAGACTGAGTAAAGGCTGCATTGGCAGAGCAGAATAGTAAGGGTCAGGAAATTCAGGGGTTCACCACCACCCCCTATTTATTTGGACAGGAGAGGTTTTTTAATTTTGCTTTGTTTTCTTTAATTGGCCTATTTCTATGTTTCCTGCTTTAAAATATCAGGAAACTTCATGTCCTCAATGGTAAGTAATAATACCACTGATTTTCATCAATCAGTTTCAGGGCTTCTAGGATTTCAAAAATGCTTAAGGGGGCCACAAGTTACCCATTTCTGCATAATAGCTTTGGAGAGAAAGAAAAAAAGAGAAAGACTAATATTGCAATACTCAATACTCAAAACCTGAATTGGTTTTACAAATCAGGGAACTCTGCATTTGCCTGTAAAATAAAATTTCACCTTTGAAAAATTTGTTCATTTTAAAGAATTGCAGGCCAGATTTAAGGGTAAAAGAATGCCCAAGGTGGCTTCTGTCCTATCAAAAGACAAAATAAAAATGTAAGACATAAATCACACTACAAAAAATTTCATTTATTCTGTTTCATATTTTCAATTCCAAATCCAGTAATGTAATTTTTAGAGCTAATAGTGTTGAGCTAAACAGTTTAACATCCTGTATGTTTTTTTTTCTGCTAATTTAGTTTTAGATTCTCAGTACATTTCTTCTTTCATATTAAAACACAGAATGTTTCCTATTCTCCTCTGCTTTATTCTCTTTTATCTTACCTATTTTGTAAACCCAACAATTATAATTTAAAAATCATAGTGTTGGAAGAAATGTCCATCTGGATTCAGTTCCAAGTGGGAAGAAAGACACTGGAAACATGGAGACTGCTTGGAAAGATGGTTTAATGGTAGACAGGACCATATGTTTTGAGGTCCTGAGCAAAAAGAAAGCACAAGGGTGAGAGAGGGAGAGATTTATACCCTCTGTTGGGCTTTGGATTTGCTTCCTATTCCTGTGGCAAGAAATGTATCCTGATTGGTTGTCAGACTCCCATGGGGCCATGCAGGGGTAACTTTGTAAGTTGTCTTGAGTCCCACAAGCTGGGTTGAATCTTGCTGGGTGATGTAATCTGCTCAGTGCCATGTGGTGAGATAGGTAGAGGGTGAACCCTATTATGTCCTGAGGGAGAAGGTCTTTTGTGTTGTAAATTAGCTTGCCCTGCCTTTCTGGGGCTATTAGCAAAGGTGAGGGCTGCTTTCCAAGGAGCATGTTTCTCCTTTTCTCATTCAGGGAGGTATAATATTCTGCCTTTTTAATGTTTCCTAGAATATTTCATTCTTATAGGAGAGGAATGGGGTGCTAACATCCTATAATAGCTTATGGCTTAACATATGCCAATTCATCCTATAGCAATTGATTCAATCAGTAATAGTTAAACAGAGAGCCAGTTTGTCCACTGGCTAAGGTGGCAGGCTAGAAACTGGGAGACCATGAATTCTAGTCCTGCTTTAAGCATGAAAGCATGCTGGCTGACTTTGGCCAGTCATTCTCTCTCAGCCCAACCCATCTCACAGAAAACAGAGGACAAAAGAAGTATTAGGTATATTCACAACTTGGGTTTATAAAATAATAAAGGCAAGATTTTTTTAAAAAAGCCTCCCTTTAGACAATATGTGAAGTAGTACGGAAATATTTATAAATGGTTAATATGTCTGCTGTACAAAATTGATGTATAAAAGGTTGTATCTAGAGCTAATACCATATCAGAAACAAAATCACTACAAAAGGAGAACTGAAAATGAGAATCAGTTGATTTATTTGTACCTTAAAGGAACTAATTTATTTCTGTCATAAAAGAAATCTTATGACCAGATTTTGAAAGAAGTCATAAGTAAAAACCAGGCAGTCAGTGAGAAGCAATGGCAACCTGTAATATGAACTTCCCTATAATTTGCCTGTCTATCTCTCCTGCTATTACTGATAGTTAGAACGGTTTGCTTTTGATGTTAAGGTATTTTATATATTATTTGTATTGTACTGTTCTGATGCAGACTTTATTGCAGCATTACAGTTTTACCTGAGATATGCTAATTTGAGGGAGGTGGAAATATTTTTATTTCAAATAACAATGAAATAAATAGCAAATCTACCTTAGAATTTCAATTTAAATTCCTGGGCTATTTGATCTGAAAATCAAACGGATGGTTAAAGAAAAACTTGATATGAAAGATGTAATGCTCTCCTTCATCTTTCTAGTTCTACAGAATATGAGAAGATTAACGTAGGATAACGGGCTATTGTGCAGGCGTATAGCCCAGGGGGGAAGGGAAGTGCTACAAGAGACCTGAATATTTGTGAGTGACAGGATAAAAAAAACACACACAGCAAAATCTCTGCATACTCTCCTACTAAATGAGGTACCAGAGGGTTATATCAGAGTCAGATTAAAGCAAATATACTCAACTCTTTTAATTTATTGCGATCAGTTCTGAGAATGTGGCTTCTTAAAAAGATTTGGAAAAAAATAAAACCAAGGTAAACTGGTGCTTTGCTTGCTTCCACTCAATATGAATATGAAATAAAAACAGTAAGAATGTAATGTTTTTCAGAAATTTTGATTTCTCTCTATGTTTTTCAAGCAAGATTTCCTTTTCTTTAATAATGTATTTTATTTGATTCATGTTAAAGTTTTGCGAAGAAGCTACATTACATATCTATATCTCTTGAGAAAGAATTCCAAAGGCCATAGTGCACGTCAGGTTTTTCCCCTTTGAGGGAGATTTCATTTCATTTCATTTATTTCATTTGTTTGCTACCTATCTAGCTGCAAGGCGACTCTGGGTAGCGTACAACATTTATTTTTATATTTGCCCTTCTGGACTCTGAGACCAGCAATTGCTGAAGAGAGAAATAGAGATATGAAAAATAATGAAAATGGATATGGTGTGGCTGAGGCAAAGAGAGACCTTGGATTTGAAAGCTGTTAAATCATTTCCCAAACCAGTAAAATATTTGGATGAACAACCTTACGGTAATTAATCAGTTTCTCATAACCACTCTCAAAGAGTAGTTCAAATGTCATTAAAAAACTACTCAAGCACACATAAAATTGTTCTGTGGATTTTTTGTTCCTTTTTGGCTTCTACTCTCGTCTTAAAAAGTTTTTGCCTGCTGCAGACAAATTGATGCAGTGTACTTGTGATTACAGCATGGGTACATACATTTGCAGTTATAAACCATGAATCAATAACTCTAACATTAACTTAACTGGGAAAGCAGGGGTGGGTTCCAGCAGGCACTACTGCCGGTTCGCTCATGTGCACGCTACACGCACTGGATGTGCCCTGCACATTTATGCACAGTGGAATAAAAATTGTTCTACGCATGCAGAAGTAAAAAACAAGATGGCAGTGCTTATGGTGTCGCCCAGACAACCGGTTTGGGGTCATGGAAGGCCTGGGTCACTGCCGGTTCCAGCGACCCAGGCTGCCAAACCACTACCAGTTCACTCAAACCAGGTAAAACCGGTAGGAACCCCCCACTGGAAGAAAGCAAAGGACAGGCAAAAGAAGCGGACATAATCTCTGTACTTTCACTTTGGGGACGAAATAAGCCATTTTGCAAAAAATACTAACCCACTTTTCCCTGGATATTTTTGCCACTGAGTATTGTAAAAATGACATATAAAGTGAGAAAAGTGCATGAGCAAATAGCAATCAAAGTTTTGCGCTTGATTCATTTATTTCATAAACAAAGATATCTACTATGTAATGCCCCAGTGAATTGCCCTCCCTCCCCTTAGATGCAGTAACTAATTGTACCACTTTCAACTATATTAATTACAACCACAAGCTTCCTCTCATTGGTGGTCAATCTCTCATACAGCTGGGTAGAAATTCTGGCCTATTTCTCCATAGCAATCTGCTTCAGCTCAATAATGCTTGAAAGTTTACTAGCATGAATTGCTAATTTCAGACTCTACCAGCTTTCTCTTAAAGCTAACATCAAATATGTTCTTCTGCAGCCATTCTCTTCCAGATTTCTTTGTATGTTTGGGGTCAGTATCTTTCTGTATGATCTAATGCTTGAGAAGTGACATGAGTCACTCCTGGTGAAATGGGAAGCTATATAAATTTGACAGACAGATGAGGGAGGGAGAGGGAGGGAGAGAGAGATTTTCATACTGTTGAATGGAATGTTTGTTTTCTGCCAAACATAACAATTCCATGTAATTGCAAAATGTTCATATTTGATTCATCTGTCCATAAATCTTCCTTCACAAATCTTGAAAGTTGTCCAGGCGCCTTTGGTAAATTTGAAACAAGCATTACTATCCTTAGCAGTGGCTTCTACCTTGCTTACCAAACTCCAATAATGCCTTTTTAACCATTTTTTTTCCAGATGGGTAAATTGTAAGACTGTTTGGTCAAGATAAAAAAAATCCTTCAGATCCCTACATGCTAACCTGGGTTTTAAGTTCTTGTATGCTGTGCTCTTGGTTTTGAGAGGATGGCTGCTGTTTAGTGTTCACTGATCTCCAAGCCTTCTCCATTTCAAGACAGTTCCTGACCGTGGATTAATGGAGAAATAGTTCTTCACTGTTTTCACACTAAACATGTTTAAACATCCAGAACTGATATTGTAAGACTTTCACATTGATGAGGAGCCAAGGTTTGTGAGATTTACATAGAGTAGGGTTGCTGGCACACATCAGCTTGATTGTGTAATGAAGCACTCACATATCTAGCCCTAGATACATCTGTAATGCACCTGACTA